ACCGTGACAGAGCAACAATCGCGGGGCACGACGGGAAAGCAGGAGCAAGCTCGACCAGCCGATCGCCGAGGGGCGGGTCGAGGAAGGAACGCGGATGGATCTGTCTTCCCACCATCCTCAGGAAAGGAGCGTCCGTAGAAATAGAAAAGGGGGAGAGGCGACTTTTCCCGCCACTTCCGCTCTGTTTGCAGGCTGGGTGGGTGTCTGCTCAGGCGTCGCCGTGTGAAGCGAGGGAAGGCAATAGCAATAGCAATAGCAATTGTAGCAATAGCACTTCACAGAAGTAGATCAGTAGATGATGTTGATCTTTGTCTTAGGGGGGGGGTCTCCTTGTAGCAGCGTTTCTCCACCTTGGCAACTTGAAGGTGTATGGACTCTAATTTTCAGAACATGCTGGCTGGGGAATTCTGGGAGTTGAAGTCCACACATCTTCAAGTCGCGAAGGTGGAGAACCACTGCCTTATGGGAAATTCTTAAAGCCCCCAGTGCAACGCCGTCGTGGGGCTGGTTGTGTTGCTCCCTCCCTTATATCTGCATTCCCTATCGGGATCTACAACACGGTTGTTGGCAAGGGATTGAAATCCATCGCACCTGGAGAGGGTGGGGCTTCGGGCTCGTTGCAACCTTTTAAGCGCGTTTGAGGATCCTGCCAGATTTATGGCAAAATAAGATGCATTTTATTCGGGCAGGAAGGCATTCTGAGATAAGTAACTGTGCGTGTAGGATTGAAGCTTTATTGATCCACCAAAAAAACCCCAAAACACTATACTAGGTCGTTTTGAATATATAATGAAGGGGAGGAGGGGGGGATTTTCTTAGCCTGGCTCTCGCTATCTCGCCTCTGTATTTTTTTTGCTTGCGCTAGGAAGACATTATCTTGAAGCAAGAAGGGACATGTACGCAGAAGACCTTGAGGGGGGAGGGCGCAGGGAAAAGGTCTTGAGGGTAGAGGGGGTCACTGGTTCAATCTGCCTTAAACTGTCGTCTTAGTTGCAATCTATTGTCTTTGCAAAGCTATAAAAACTGCCTTTGAAAGTCTTGTTGGTGTGGACCTTCCCAGAACTTTTTGGGATTGCTGCCCACCCAGCTGCTTCACTTGGCGGATTAAAGGGCTGTTTTCTTTTTAAGAGCCTCCCGCTGAATTCTTGGTATTGAATTCCTTAAGATTCAGGTCTACAAACCTTACATAATTTTAGAATTCTTCTTAAAGTAGTTGTAGGAAATTAAGGGCTTTCCAGGTTCACTTGTTTTCCAAGAAGTAAAGAATTCTAAGCTAAAGAGGTGCTGTAATGTTTGAGATGTATCCAGTTAACTGTATTTCTTCAATCTTGCATACTGTACTTTTTTTCTTTGTGATCTAGAGTCTCCGCTTACCCAGTTTTCCAATATTTTAAAACATTTTATTGAAAAAAACAATAAAACAAAGAAATAGCAACAGATTATAATACAATTATCAGACTAAATATTTGACCAGACTATTCTATAATATTTGTATTATTTGAACTAATAAGATTCATAAATGAACGATACATATCATAAAAATCTTTTGGGTGTGTGTATCTCTTAGTTCTTATGTGTTAATTTTTCCCTCTTACATTTTATTTAACCATGATCAAGTGATGGAGGGTTGATTTCCAACAATGGGTTATTATCTCTATGACAGGTACCATCGTTGTAACTGTCTCTTGGTTTATTCTGACTAATGTCCCCTCAAATTTCTGCATGCCTTGTGTGGAAAAAAAAATGCTCTGTGCAGCTTCTCTCAAACCAAGTACAAATACGTGTGCTACCATATGTGATTTATTTAATAAGTTTATATAGCTGCCCATTTCATATGACACCAGGTGGCTTACAATAGATTGGATACATACAATATATAAAAAATAAAAACACATAGCAGCCAAGCATCCTAAAGCAACCATTAACATAGCCAGGAGAAGGGCTTTGTAACATACTCGGGAACCCAGGCTTGGGCACAAAAACAAGTTTTCAGGGCCTTGCAAAAAGCCAGCAGGGTCAGCCTAGTCTGATATCTGAGGGAATAATATTCCAAAGGGGTACGCAGAAAAGGCTCTCCTGGGCCCTGCCAGCTGAAACTCCTTAGCTGATGTTACCCAGAGCATGCCGCTCCTGCCTGATCAGGTAGGATGGGTAGAAACAATCAGGGAAAGACAGTCCCATGAGTAACCTGGCCCCAAACCATGAAGGGCTTTAAAGGTGACTACCAGCACCTTGAACTGCACCCAGAACAAACCAGAAGCCAATGCAGCTTACGGAGCAGTGGTGTCACATGTGTTGAGTAACCGGCACAGTAACTGCCCGTGCTGCCATATTCTGCATCAGTTGAAGCTTCTGAATAATCTTCAAGGGCAGCCCCACGTAAAGCACATTGCAATACAGGTAGTCCTCATTTAGCAAATGCCTTGGATAGCAACCATTCACAAATATGGCAGTAATAAATAGTAGTAACTGTTAATGAAATCATTTTCCAACCAATGTGTGCAGTTATGCCCAAATTTCTGCACCTGACAACAATGCACGCCAGAGTGAGAGTAAAGCTGGCATTGCTGCATGAGAGAACTTTATCTCAATGAGACAGCAGCAACCAGCAATCTTCACAGCATCTCTTTTTCTCAGGCACATGGTTTGCTTAGCCACCGTGTCATTGAGCAATCATTTCACCAAAACCAACCGTGATCGCTAAAAGAGAACTGGCTGTAATCCAGTCTGGAGGTCACAAGGGCATGAGGGACCATGAGCAGCCCCCCCCCCCCCGGTCCAGGAACAGGTGCAACTGATGCATAACTTGAAGTTGTACAAAGACCCTCCTAGCCACCAACTGCTCCTCAAGCAGGAGCCACAAGTCCAGGATTATGCCCTGGTCTGCCTGGGGCAGTCCACCCCAACCAGAACCAAAAATGGAAGCTCCCTGGAAACAGGAGGTCCAAAAACCCAGAGCCACTCAGGTCTTGCTTGGGTTGAGCTGAAGCCTGTTGCACCCCATCCAGGCCCCCACTGCTTCCAGGCACTGAGAAAGTACCTCCTCAACATCACTCAGAAGACCTGGGATGAATATATAAAGCTTACCCCAAACTGTTGGATATAAACTTCACCTCAAACAGATGACCTCACCCAATGGCTTCATGTAGATGTTCAATGGGAAGGGAGGAAGTGCACCTCAGAAGGAGGAGCTGTGGGTTGGACCTCTTCCCCCCATCAACACTGACTGGAAAGGACCCTGGAGGAAGGAAGAGAACCAGCCCAACACTGTGCCACCCACCCAAGTAAATTGCAAATACACGTAAGAGCAACATGTTAAAATGTTTACATATTTCTTAATTAAAGTACAGAAACTAAAAGTATAATTGTATGTCACATACATGCTTAAAAGTTGTGCCTTCAAGTCATTTTTTACTCCTGGTGACTCTCCCCTGGAGTTTTGGCAATTCCTTCTTCGTAGAACTGAGAGAGAGTGACTGGCCAAGGTCACCCACTGGTTTTGTGCCTAAGGTCGGACTAGAATTCACAGTCTCCTGGTTTCTAGCCTGGTCCCTTAACCACTTTCTCAAACTAGATCTGCATATATGTGCTTACAGATTATAATACAAGCTTGCTAGTCACTGATAACTGATAATTGCGAACAGTATTTTGTAAGCATTTAAGCTTTTTTTTTGAATTTGACATTGTAATGAAAGAAAAAAAGAAAAGCATTATACAAAAATCATTTAAATAGCTCCCACACTCATTAATTTTATACTGAAATCATATAGATCTATTTTTCCTTAGTTTGTTTTTCTTTTTCTTCTAATGTTTAGTTTATTTTAATCACTCTAATGGTTTCTGGCTGGCCCTAATCTGAGTTTGGATAGTCCACTAAGCCAAACCACAAATGATTTAGAGTTTTGTGTGAGTGCAGTTATGGAGAAGTTGAATACAAGAAGTAAATACCTAATATCAATTGGTATTATCCGGCCAACTTCCTTTCAAACAAGCATGTCGGATTACCACCATCATTTTCAGTATATTAGGCTGCTGTATGTGAGCCTATTTCTTTTCTAGCCCCAAACATACTTTGACTTAAAAGAATGGCTTAAAAACTTTTCTTAGATAGAAGATCAGTTGCATACAGAGCCACGTATAGTGCAGGAAGGGCTGAAAGAGCAGCAGGGTATACAGATCCATCAACAGTGCATCCACTTCGTCGAATGGATATTCCACTTATTTCTTCAATTAACACTCCAGTTATATCCCATTCCTCTTCAGTTAACAGCTGGACTTCTACAGTAAAATTCTGTTTTCCGTCCCAGAAATATTTGTCTAGGATGCTTCCAACCTTTGCAAACAAGAAACAAAGAAAATAGAGCTTGCAGCACTTGATCAGTAACATCCACATGCTGGAAATGAATTGAGGCCAATCTGAGATGCAGCATGCGTAATGGAATTATATCAGTGGTAAGAAGACTTTTCAAATTTGCAATGCTATCAATCGGTAATTGCCCCATTTCTGTCTTATTGGAAGCGATCCAGTGCTCCTCCAACCATTCTGGAAGGGTTCTAAGCTTGAAACACCAGCATGGTGACATTAAAATGATCTGTTTCAAGCTTGAAATGTTTGGATTTGATCCAGTTTGCACACCAATAAAATGTATCAACTACAGTGGAACCTTGGGTTACGAACACCTCTGTTAACGAACTTTTCGGGTTATGACCAGCTCCGGCCGCAAAAATTTACCTCGGTTTGCGAACTCCGCCTCGGGGTACAAACAGGATACGTGGCCATTTTCCCTCCCATGATACAGTCCACGGCCATTTTTCTGCCCCTGACACGTGGTCTGCAGCCATTTTTCCGCCCCTGACACGTGGTCTGCAGCCATTTTTCCGCCCCTGACACGTGGTCCACGGCCATTTTCCACCCCTGACATGTGGTCTGCGGCCATTTTCCGCCCCTGACATGTGGTCCGCGGCCATTTTTCCACCCCTGACACGTGGTCCACGGCCATTTTTCCGCCCCCGACACATGGTCCGCGGCCATTTTTCCGCCCCCGACACATGGTCCGCGGCCATTTTTCCGCCCCCGACACATGGTCCGCGGCCATTTTTCCGCCCCCGACACATGGTCCGCGGCCATTTTTCCGCCCCCGACACATGGTCCGCGGCCATTTTTCCGCCCCCGACACATGGTCCGCGGCCATTTTTCCGCCCCCGACACATGGTCCGCGGCCATTTTTCCGCCCCCGACACATGGTCCGCGGCCATTTTTCCCCCCCTGACACGTGGTCGTAGGGAGGGGGACTCTCCCTCCAAGCAATAGCCGCCTCCCTGTCCTCCACGCCAGAATGGATTAACGGTAATTACATTGAAACTTATGGGGAAATTTGCTTTGGGGTGCAACCAATTCGGGGTGCGACCAGAGTCACGGAACGAATTAAGTTCGTAAACCGAGGTTCCGCTGTATAACCAGAGTATATATGCCTCAATGTTTTGCATTTTTATTGTATGCTTATTAGAAGGCAGCCACCCCAAAATTCAGTGAGCATCGCTGGTATTCTACAGTAAATAAGCAGAAGATGTAGTTTTGTACATACAGCCTCTCAGTTCAGCTAGAGAAGACTCATGTATAGTATCTTAATGCCTCAGAGAAGAATGACTGTTAACTAAAGCAGATTATTTGACTGAAATTCTCTCTTACCAGTTTCAGTTGCTGGGACACAATATTTTTTTCCACAGATTCTACCAACAGCATTATCTGCAACTCTGTCAGTTCTGGATTATACAGAAAACACATTTTAGTTGTGAAAAATGCACCTATTTTAGAAAATGTTACATCAAAAATAACTGCCCAAAATTTCTGAAGCAGTAATTGTTTATTCTTAGTTGAAAGAGATGATTTAGGTTAGTTTGAAATTAATAGCCTTTATGTTATCCACAATTAATTCTAAATTGAAATGCATCAGGAGCATGAATAAGCAAAGCTTAACTAACTACACAGCAGTTCTGATTCCTTGCATTTTGCCTTTCAGCAGTATCATACTAAGCCATGACAAGGCTCCTATGTTTCTAGCTTAATGTATTGTGTGAATTCAGCCATTGTGTCTTATCTGACAAACCATTTAATAAACTTTGGCTTAAGTTATCAACCAAGTTTATTTGCCCTAAACCATGGTTTATTTTAATCATGGCTTGTTGAATAAGCCACAGGTGTGTTCATACAATATCCAAAGCCATTATGAATTAGCACTATGGGAGGACTCCATCCATGACTAAGTTTGCATTCCCCGTGTCCTCTGAATTATTTGTTGTTCAGTTTAATCCTAGATACAAATTTAATATTTATTTATAATCAAAATAGCCCATTAAGAAACCTTCTGGGGGCAGTCCCTGCCCAGCCAATGATGGACCTACAGAAATGATGTACGGGTAGTCCTTGTCTAGCAACTGCCTCATTTAGTGACTGTTCACAGTTACAAAGGTGATGAAAAAGTAACTTTGTGACCAATCCTTGCATTTACGATCTTTGCAGGTCTGTAAGGCAAAGGAAAGCTGAAGTAAGATCGTAAGCACTGTTGTGGTTTCACTTAGTGACCACTTCACTTAGTGACCGAGTTGCTGGTCCCAATTGGGGTTGCTAAATGAACTATCTGTATTGACTGTTGCTTCAATAGAATCCAGCAGATTCTGGCATGCCCATGCATTTCCAAGTGAAGATGTTGAACCTATTTGGGACATAGCACCCTGATTATGTGCAGGGTTTATTCAAAACAGGGCCCAGGATATTGAAACTCTGCCCCCCTTGCCCCCTCCCCCATGCATGGCAGCACTAGCTCTGACTAGGCTACGGTACAATTGGTTTTTAAGGTCTTTCTTTCAATTTGGTTAAAAAATAATAGTCATACTAGCTTTTCAGCCTCTGCAAAGTTGGCTGGGATACTGGTCAGGGAAGTCGTAGCCAGATAAATAACTGATTACCTGATCATCTCTGATCAGTTAATAAACTAAGTCTCTATTTGTGGTCACTCAAACAACAGATGGATATTGTACAAAAATACCTTACAAATGTTGTGAAGATGCGTTTGTCTTCCAATTTTACTTACTCTTAGGCTGAAAGGTTGACTAGTGAATGATTAGCAATCACTGCAATTTGAAAAAGATGATTTTTACCATCAAGAGCCTGAAGAAAATAGAGGGTGGCCTCAGCAAGTTCAGTGATAATTGCTCCTTTGACATCTTGCAAGTTCTTCATCAGGTCCTTCAACTCTGGTTTGTCTGTATTCAGCCTGAATTGTTCAGGGTCTTCAAGAGCCTGTTCCAGCTGGGGGTTCAGGTTGGAGAAAAAGGCAGGAGCAACAATATTTTACAAATGGATTTGGTGGTACACATGTATATGGAGGGGCTACTACAATATGAGATTTGAAACACAATATAGCTTTAAATCTAAATACTGGTGACCACTGGGAATTTAAATGAATTCTTTAATATAAGGTAATATTTAAGAACCATAGGGGGAAAATGCTCTTTTTAATTTGTGGCAGTGGAAACGCAGGACATTTTCAAAATATCTTTTCAAAATCCTTTCTAATGTTGGGCAAAAGGGCTGTTGTGACTTGATAATTGACAGGCCAGCAGCCCCACAGTCTAACTTCCTCCTCCCTGCCTGCCTGATCCCCTTGAACTTCCCCCAAATGTTCTTCTGAGGGAAATAGTAATGGGTATGGCTGATGCCTGAGTTGGAAAACCTGGCAGTTGTTTAGGTTATTCCAAAAATTAAGTAAAGCTTTATTGCAAGAGCAGTGGCGGTTGTGGCCAGGGGCACTGTCAGCCCTTCAAGGTGACCGAAGTCATGCATGCTAATGTTACTTTCATTATAAGGTTATAGTAACAGAAATAGTAGTAGCATGCATGACTTTGGTTTCCTAGTCTAGTCTACCTTGAAGGGCTGACATCAATCTTGCAAATCTCAGTGTGCTTCTCCCCACCCTCCCCTTTATCTTTGTGAGAACTCAGAACTCTTTTCTGAGACACTTGCTCAGGTTACAATTCTGCCCCGGACGCAGATTTCTTTTATCTGACTGTTGTCTTGGTTGCGGCTCTTCCTCTGTTCCTCAAGGTTATTCTTTCTGGCCATTACAGGGCCTTTGCAAAAATTTGTCTTGTAAGCCAGTTGTGCCCATTCCTGGACTGGGGGGCTTTCGTCACTCATGCCTTAATCACCTCCCAATTGGATTACTGCAATACACTCTACATGGGGCTGCCCTTGAAGACCATCCAGAAACTGGAACTGGTCCAGAATGCAGCGTTGCACACAGTTCTGGATGCCCTGTGGTTCACCCGAGTTACATCTTTAAAACCCTACATGACTCAGGACCAGGTTATTTGCAGGACCGCTTCTTCCCTAGGGTATCTGTCTATCCTAAAAGTTCAGATAGGCCAGGTGACCTCCAGGGTCCCCTCCCTTAAATGCTGTCAGGCTGGAATGCATGTTGGGTCAGGAGGCTAATAGTCTGTTAGGTCTGGTGCGTGGTGGGGAGGATGGTTTTGTTTTTATTCTTGCTTTTACTGGTTGTTGTCAGCTGCCTAGGATTATTATATGAGACAGGCGGCCATATAAATTCCTTAAATAAGTAGATAAGTAAGTAAGTAACTTTGGTAATGGACCTCTGTTATTAAAACATAATTGCTGACTGGAAGACAATAATGGGGGAAGCCTAATGAGACAGCTCAGCTACTGACTTTCACTGAGGGGAGGTTCTGAAGAGGTCAGCAGTTGTATAGTTATATAGTCTTATACAGGTCATATACAACTGCTACAGCTATATAGAACAAAGGAAATGAACCACATCATTAATAACAGAAACTTCTTTACCTGGAGCTCCAGTTCTCCAAGAAGGTAGTTTTTCTTCATTAGAACCACAAAGCTAGTTAGAAATTTGCCACACAGGTTTGAAGACATTGAAGATAATGGTGCATATTCATTTTCAACTTCCCTTCGAAGGTTTTTCCTATTGTCTTCCCAAACAGAGACAAAAGTGTTAAAATCAGTGTTTGCTGCTCTTATCCTGGCTAATGCCAGAAAAAATAATAATTCAAAATTTGGATATTGTCTCATATTAACTGAGCACCAGCAATAAATGTTGCCAGCACATAGCATCATTGCAGAGCCTTCTAAGTTCTGTATTTCTTATAATTTGGTCTCTGAATTAATAATCTTGAATGTTATTGATTTATATATTATCCAAAATACCTGCTTAATTCTGGTGAACACTCATCCAACATTATACAATTTCTACTCGTACAGTGCAACTCTCCCTTGATTTTTGCTCATCGTCCAAACGGAGAGCATCTCTATTGAGGAACTGGTCTTACGAACTGAAGACACATGGGGAAAAATGGATTTAACCTCTTTTAACTATTTTATGATTCCATACACTGGATGATCCTGTCAGGACAATAGTAAAGAAAATGGATAGGCCTAAGCTCTATAAAGTCACATGTTATGGAACAGAATCTTTTTTCCTGGTTGTAATAAGGGAAATATGCAAAGTACTTGGTAGTAATGTTTATTGTAATCACACTAGTACTCTATGGAAGCACTTTTTTCCCTGTGGATATCATAGGCATATCTCTGACTTTACCTCATGTTTTGTATTAAGATGGAGAGCCAAAGGAAAGAAAAGTGTTGGGAATATAGAACTAGAGTTAAGAAAGCATCTTTTCAACCAATCTTCCCTATCTGGTATCTTCAGCTGTGTTTGGACTTCCTTAATACCTAGCCAAGGTGGCTGTAAGAGGGCAGTAGGTCGGCTCTTGTTAAACATAAATGTTTCAGGAGAAAAATCCCAAGACTCTTGATTGCTCTGGTGCTTGCACTTATCATTTTGGTCCTTTTGAAATATTAACATTGCCTGTCCCCATTTTTGCACATGGATATTGACCAAAATGTGTCATGATTTCTGCTAAGGAGTTGAGCGCCAAAGAAATTGCTAGCTCTGAGCACCAGGCTACCCAATTTTTTCCAACATTTTGTAAAACAGAAAATGGTTCCTCTTCCTTAAATTATGATATATATTCTTTTTAAATCCCACATTAAAGTCCACTCCACTCACCCTAAATGAAGAAATCAATGTACCTTTTACAATCTGTCTGTACTGTGCTTTTCCTATCCCTACGGCTGAGAAAATATAAAAACAAAAGAAAAAACGTTTACTAGTAATCAACAGAAACATTTCATATTAGGCTGGCAAGATTTTTAACTGGGCAATATCCATAATACTTCCCCAACTGACTTGTTATAAGTAACTGCCAAAATTTAGAAGCATCTATTGGAGGCTTTTCATTTTGAACATAGCAGTCTATTAGATTTCCTGTGATCGCTTAATTAGTCCTGGATTCATATGGTTAATTTTCTCTGTGGAATTACACATAATGCATTCTGCTTTTGTTACCTGTTACAACAACTGATTTAATTATGCCCACGGATGCTTATTACAGTTGTATACACACTTTTCTTTTCTTTTGTATAATCATCTGTTTTCACATACACATCTCGGTTTTATGGAATGGATAACCATGGCCTATATCATCTTCAACTAAACAATTGCCTATCTCCATCCTAATCATTAATAAGAATAATCACCAGTAACATTGACATCTTAAACGTACATGCTTGAGGAAAGAGAACTCTGAAATGAAGTATGGATGCCAGAGTGAGAAATGAAGGAGGAAAAAAAAACGATTTTACCTGCATCTGTAGAAAAAATTTTTTTTTCTGAAATGCAAAAGAATTACAGGAATAGGATGAAGAAACAGAATGAGATGCTAAGAACATCCAAGACCTGTCAGTTTAGTTGAGCTTCCCAATCCAGTATAATACAATTTTTGAAAAGATCTTTATATATTCTTTCTTACCTACATCTGCATATAAAGAAATCCTGTTGTCATGCCATAGTTTAGATTTAGAGCAATAATTTACCAATCACAGCCCTTGAAACAAGTTCATACCTACAAATTTAAAATATTTCACTCACATATCCTAAAGCAGGGGGGATGGAATATACCTTTCCATATATCTGTTGGTGGTCAATGAGTAGGCAGTGGGGTTATGCCTTCAGTAAAGACAGGATTAGACTTTTAAGTGATTTTTTAAAATGTGCAGTATAATGCCTAATTCAGGCTTAACCAACTTTCCTTTTCTTTCCCAATGGGAATTCAACTATATCATGATATATTCATTAAAACAATAAAACAAAATGGCTAAAATACACTTACCAAAAGTTCCTGTTTTGTCACTTGAGTAATAGGAAATACCTAATGTAAAAATTAGGAAAAATCAATTGTTTACATTAAACTAGCTAATAATATCATATGCAAACTTTTGGAAGAAGAGCTTATCAGTAATTTTTAAATTTGCAAAGAGACCTAGCATCCAGAAAAAATATATACCTTACTTCTATATTTACTTCAGATCTCCCAGCCAGACACATTTTCTAAAGAGAGAGATGAATTACCCAGCTGTAATCCAAAGAATCTCCCCCCAAGATCCTGTTATGTCCCCCCAAGTCCTGCTATGCTGTCTCACTATGGCAGGTTGAGGGTGGTTCCTGGGAAGGATGAGCAAAGAATGCTGGGAGCGTATGTATGCCAAGAGTATATACTCCCAACAGAGTCACCCAAGGCATGAAAATCATCCCAGCTGCCCAGGCTAAAGCAAGCAGGCACCTATATCAGAGGCAGCACCAGTACAGGAAGAGGCTGGAGACAGATGATCACTTTAATTACAAGGCATAATTTCCTACCATGTGGGAGAAGGCAATGGTAAACCACTCCAGATGATGGGCCCCTCAGGTCACATGGCCCTTAACATGCTACCGAGGGAGAGCTCAGGATCTTTCAGAGTATTAATGGCATTTATGATGTAGCTAGATTAAAGCCTCAAGATGTCTAGTTGCTGATATTGCCATGCAAGGAAAGAACATCTGAAGCTGCAAAGATAGAATTACAGTGGAAACGTGGAACAGAAGAAGAATGAAGGTGGGAAAGCTGAATACAGTGAAGGATGAAATGAACTGACTACATGTTGACAGCTTAGGCATCAGAGAATTGAAGTGGACTAGAACTGGATATTTTCAGTGAGAGGGTCATACTGTTTATATTATGATCCTCTGGACTTAGCAGGACATGAAAAACGAAGAAGGAACAGTGTTGCTTTCATAATCAGAAAGGATATAGCACTAACAGTACTTACCTACAAGGCAGTCAATGGCTGAATAACACTTATTAAATTTCATGGACAATAGATATGACCATTATCCATGTTTATGCTCCGATTTCTGATACAGAAGAAAAGGATGTTGAGGAGTTTTATGGTCAAGTGCAATCTGAAATTGACTCAATGAGTAAGCAAAATGTGCTGCTTGTAGTTGGAGACTGGAATGTCAAAGTTGGAAATAGTAAGGAGAAAAATGTAGTTGGATTCTTAAGAATATCATGGATAGTCAAGAAAATAAACAAATGGATCACAGAACAAATAAATCCAGAGTTCTTACTTGACATATAAATGACTTGGCTCAATTTATCACATTTTGGACATATTTAGCAAAGGCCAAGCTCCTATGAAAAGTCTATGATGTTGAGAAAGATGGAAGGAAAGAGAAATGGATAATGAGCAGCAAGGACTCAATTACAGCAGCAACAGTGCATTGTTCAGAGACCTAAAGGCCACAGATCCTCCTGGAGAAAAATCTATGTACAGTATGTAGTCACTTAGAGTTGACATCAAGTTGATGGTACATAATCAGTCAAAACAAAGAAGGATCACTTAATGTTTCAGAGTCTAGTGGAATATTCATTACCCTAAAACATTCTCTTTCTGATGAATCTTAATGAAGAAGATGGATGGCATAGTGCTAAAGGTGTTTAAGGGCTTCAGGACAATGCAAATTCTCAAGTATTTTGCTCAGTAGTATCCCTCTGGTCCTGTTTGTGCAGAGAGACACTCGAGTGAAATTCTTGAGAACTTGCACAGAGGAAGAGTGGGTGGGATAGAAAGTATGACCAGAGAAGCTGCAGCTTCTAATTGTTTGCTGAACAATGAGGGGGGAAAAGTCATCTGAGCAGCTGCTGATTTCAGTGGATATGTACTGAGACTTGTTGACTACTCACTGTGGATGGTGAAGTCACTCCTTCCAACAGGCACTAGAAGGCATATAAGGCAGCCAGTTTCCAAGGAGCGAGCAAAAGAGTTAACAGGTGTTTGCCACTGGAGTTCAGTGAAGGAGTTTAAGAGGGAATCCCTTTTACATTTTCCAAACCAGCAGTGTGTACTTTGCTAAAGCCTGAGAAAGAGGAAACAATAACAATCTTCTGGCAGTGATACCTTAAGGAGCAAACAAAGAAGATAGATGGACAGTATTCTGCAACTATGAGTACATGAAAACAAACTGGCACATATTTGCAGCAAGTGCAAGCTTGTAGCAATGCTTGATGAAAAAATTAGAGCAACAGAGGCCACACTTCAGCTTGATTTATCAGTTCAAACTCAAAATGTGCTATAATAATTGACAGAGGAAGTAAGACTGGATTTGAAAAGTAATCAAACAAAGGAGTGGATGTTTAACAATCAGAAGCAAGTGAGGGAGAAGATATGCACACTACTGGAACTCAAGCAACTTTACAAAATAAGCTGCTGGTCTTCAGTGGTTGAAAAAGAAATCCTTTGGATCAGGAAAGAGGGTGGTAGAACCCGTGGAGACAGAAGAAGATTTTAGAATAGTAGCTGATTACACTGCTGACTCATGTTCACTTTGTAATATGGCTGGCTGCAAAACAAGCAAATGCAATTTTACGTTGTATCAATAAAAGTGTACTATCTTCATTGTGAGAAATAATACTTCAACTTTATTCTGTTTTGGTCAGACATGATTTTGAGTATTGTGTCCAGTCTAAGCCACTACCTTTTCAGAAGGATTCAGACAGACTGAAATAGTTTCAGAGAAGAGTAGTGATGATCAGAGGATTAAAGGAATTAGGAATGTTTAATCTGAAGAGAAGCTGGGAAGGGATACCATAGTGCTCTTCAAAGGCCCATAAGAAGTTACATTGAAGAAGGTCAAGACTTGAACTCATTCATTCTAGAATCCAGGAATGGAATGATGACTTTAAGTTGCAGGAAGATTTCAGTCGAATGATATAAATAAAATTCTAACAGTAAAAGCAGTTGTAGGCACCTACGCATCAGGGATGCTTTAATTTGAATTCCTGCACTGAGCAGAAGGTAGAACTCAAATGTACCCACGTCTGCCTTTCTTGAGAAGTGGATGAGCATGAGGATTGCACTGTATCAGATCAAGTATCTGTCTAGCTTATTTTCACCTGTTACCAGCCAGATGCTAGGTCTTTGAGACTTTCAGCTGGGCTGGGACACTAACATTTTCAGAACAGCAATCATAATTGGCGCAGGCCTCAGATAAAAAAAGTCCCTTACTTAAGGTTCCGTCTCCTATCAATAATTTTTTAGCTTTGAATGCCAAGATGCATCCCTTTGGTATAGTGACTGTTTTCTTCTTATCTTGGGCACCCTAAAACATGAAAGAAAACCTTGGATCAGCTATATGGGATAAAATAATTTGATAGGAGGAGATGCATGTTTTCTTTCCTCCAATTTCATAAGTCACTATTCAGATCAGACCTTCAGTCTCAGTCTGACATAGGCTTTATAAAAGATGCTGCTTTCCACTTTGTTGGATTCCCCAAACGTTGCCTCTTCCACAGTTTCTGCGGACTCAGTGATCACATAGAGGTTCCTCTGAAGCTTCTTTGTTTGTTTAATGAAGGGGTGATCATTGTTGATTTTCCTAAAAGAAAATACACGTATACCTCAATAAAGTAGACTGCAATTCAATCTATAATCATTTTTTGAAAAAAATCCAATAAATACAGGTTCAGTTGCAGTAGGTAACCCTGTACATTTAGTTTCCTTTCCATTGCTAAGTTTCTGAGCTATGTTCTTTACCGCATTTGGATAATGTTTAGAAAGAATTAAATGATTGTTGCAGTTGGAGATTTAGATCTGTCAAGAGGCATTAAATTGTAAATTAAATTGTAAATTAAATTGTAAATTAAATTAAATTACATTACATTACATTTTGGACCCAAAGACCTAGTTCTCTGATAAATCTATGATGCTGGGAAAGATGGAAGGAAAAAGAAGAGTATGACCAGCAGCAAGGTAGATAGACTCAATTCCAGTGGTGATAGATGCACCACTGGAAGACTTGAAGGACCAAGCTGGGTACAGATTCTCCTGGAAAAAACCTATCTGTGCGGTTCTGGTTGCTGAGAATTGAAACCAACTTAATGCCAGTTAATTAATGCCAGTTAATCAGAGGCATTAAGTAAAGTACTGTATATATGTAAAAGAAAGGAGACCTTGAGCATACAGAATGGTAAATGTGGTTGGAGTCAATTTTCATTTGGTTGTTTTTGTTATACTTACATTTCTTTAATCAAAGAATCGAGGTCTTGGATGGGAACATGTATCTTTTTCACCTTCACACACCTTTCATGAGAAATCCTGAGAATGCTAGTTACTTCAGCATCAGTAATTCCACTAATATCCCCGCTCAATGTTCCATCTGAACTGTCTTCAAGGGTGAATAACTCTGAATTCTGGCAAACTGGGGAACAAATATTGAGAAAAACCATAGTGTTAAAAGAAGCACTAGGACACATACAAAAGGAGCAGCAGACAACTACTTTAATGAGGGGAAGAAAATGGTGGCAGCAAAGGATTCTGTTGATATTGAATCAGACTGACTGTAATTTAAATCAGCATTATACTGTTCACACTAAGAGTTCCCAGAAAGTGGAAAATACTTCCACTTGCATGTTGGTGTATCTTCAGTTTAAACCTCTGACATGTCCTGAAAAGTGCCTTTGAAGGGTTAGGGTATGCTCTAGAACTTTCTTCACCTTTCTGTATGTTGAGTCAGTGTTGACTCCTGGTGACTGCCTGAACTAGTCCCTGCAATTTTCTTGGCAAGATTTTCAGAAATGGGTTGTCATTTCCTTCTTCCTAGGGCTGAGAGAGAGTGACTGGCCCAAGGTCACCCAGATGGCTTTGGGCTTAAGGTGGGATAACAACTAGTGGTCTCCCAGTTTCTAGCCTAGTGAATTAACCACTACACCAAACTGGCTCTCCATGGTAAATTAACTCAAGGCAAGGCAGTTCCCCATACAGTCCATTATGTTTTGTGCAAGATTGTTTGTTAAAGACTCCCCAACTTCCAAAATGTATTTTGGAATTAGAGGTAAAGGAAGAACAGGAAGCTCACCTTTGATTAACTTTGATATTAATTTATTGTAGGATCAAAGCTATATAATCATTTTTAATACTAATTTTGATAAGAAAACAGCCTGTGAATTGAGAAATAGAATTGCAGCATTCACACTTTCAATTTTTAGGTGCGCAACTAAGATCCTAAGAGACCAGGGAGTGCAATGTGTTTAGTTCCCCTGCACCCCTCAATGGCATTTGATATAATCTTTCTGGGTTGCTTAGAAGAGGAAGACTGTGCAGGAATGCAGTATTACACGAGTGTTAGTCTCATCTCAGTGAGACATATCCAGAAGGTCCAAAACCAAAATAATGGTGTTCACTAAAAGTCAAGGATGCTAAATTGATCACTAGGTGGGCACAGTTTAGAACAAGCAAACTGCTTTAAATAGCTTGGAATAATCTTCCGTCCATTAGGGGAAGACGTGCCCATAGAGATTATACGACAGAAAATGTATCTAGATCTGCATCAGCTACCCAGGACTTTTACCTTTCTTGGGGTGCCCAGTTTGTTCCTGCTGCAATAAAACTCTTTTCAGCAAAGACATATGCACAGTTCTTTTATGGAGAACTTCTTGATATTTTTCCAAATCCAGAGTTCAAGGGACTCAAATGTTGAGTCTGTTCAGTTTCTAAGAAATGTTGTTCAAATGCCTGAATATGTGCCTAGTGCTGTTCTTCATATGGAAACAGGACAAAGTTGAAGCCAGCCCATGGATTAATATCTTCAACTTTTGGTGAAGGGTTGTCATTTTCCCTGTAACAGCATTTCTCAACCTTGGCAGTTTAAGATGTGTGGCTGGCTAAGGAATTCTGGGAGTTGAAGTCCACACATCTTCAAGTTGGTAGGGTTGAGAAACGCTGCCCTGTAGGCTTACTGCTTTATCTTGGAAGGATAAAGAACCTCAGAAAATGAATATTTGATATGGAGCATCAAACCGAGCATAGCCTAATTCCTATTAATGTCCTCATGGGCAACCAAGTTACCAGTCATAACTTGCTAGGTATCTTAATCTGGTTACACCAGGATTATTATTTTTTAAACTTTTTCTTCCTCTGAAGGAGCAGCCATTTAACGTCATGGATATTTCTTCTTTCTTGGAAAATATTGCGATATTCTCCCCCATGCTTATGGGGAAGTTCTGCTGAACTTAATGAATTTAAGTAGACGTGTGCAGGGAGAAAGATCGTACAGTACAGTTATCTGACCAGCAGAAGCAAACAAAGGAGTGTGCTGGTGTGAGAGTGATCTGCTCAGAACAGACTGAATGTCTTGGAACGTGGGGCCTTTCCTTTGTTCGATAACATAATTTCTTAAATAGACAAATTTCCATGGGTGGAACACAGAAAAATGGATGGGACTGCAATTATTTACAGGCTTTCCCAAGCACATTGGAGCTTGGAACTCCTTCCCCCATTCTATTGACACAGCTCCAGAACTGGCTATATGTATTCTTTTTGGGGGAGTGTTGGGGAGAGGAACAGTGGGTATTTGGTCAAAGTTTTCCCTCCCTGGAGTGATGCAAAGGGTGTCCATAAGCCTGCCAGCTATCTTAATGTGATTACTTTACCAAATTCCAAAGAGCTCTGATGCTTGCACATTGTAACACCCAAGCAAACTGTGGTCCTGGAAGGGAGATTATCAAGAGTATCAGGCAGACTGTACACATACAGGTAATTTAGGTCTAAGCATGTAACGTTGTCTATACCCAGATAGTGGCACAAACAAATCCAAGAATCTTACCCATTTACTTGAGAAGCAAGCAATGAAACTGGCTCAGATGTTATACAGTGCACCATTAGTACATACTGCCCAGATTGGATCAAGCCTTGGAGCTTCAATGGCAGCACATCTTTTACTTGGCCATCCTGAAGAGCTACACTGGCTAGTTCTTGGCCAACAAATTATGGAGCAAACCTATCTTTTTTCCTGATTGCCAGTGCATAAGTTTTATAATGGCATCTATACCACGTCTGTTTGGATTCAACCCTAGCCCTGCATCACAACTGCTCAAGCTACCCCAGTCGTCACTCCGCAACTGCTCTGAATACCATGGTATGTTACAGACTATGATCCAGTTCAGAGAACATAGAAACCATTCTCCCTGAAGAACCAAGTATGTAGCCTGGAGATACATCAAAACCAGGAGTTCACGTTTTGGCTTGTAAACATACCTGGAATTTTGAATGCTTGGGTTGGGCCATAGGAGTGCCATGGAGAGCACATGCTTATTGACAGAATGATTTCCATACTGGGCATTGCTCGTCACAAAACAAGCAAGCAATAAATCAAGAAAGCAGAAAACACTAATGGAGATGTCTGCTGACAAACTGGCATTCATGGGCACCATCTAGAGAGACAGGGGTTACTGATGAAGAGTGCCTTTGATCAGCTTGAATTGATATGCTAGTGGTGTTTCTATCTGGAGAAAGTAGCCCTTGACTACTTTCTCCAAGACTTAAAGCATCAGTTTTGGTCCTTAAATGCCCCTCATTTTGGGAACAATGAGTCCCAATCTTCTAGCCTCAACTACTCCTGTGACATCATGTCACTAGCGTTACAGATCTTTAGTACAGATACAGGTATACTTTACTGATTAGTCAACTGACCATATCAAACAGACCTTTAATAGAACACAGACCCTATATGTAGTCCTTAGGGCAAAAATGGTTGCTCACTCTGTTTTAGATAGCATAAACGGATTTTGGACAATCTATTTTTTCAACTTTGCTATTTATTCCAGTTTTCATAAACATGGGATCAAGGACCCTGAAAGTTTACCATCAATTACTGAATATTCCCCTATCCTTCAGCCTTCACAAATCTCAGAAAAAATTGTTCATGCATTTTGAGTACATACTTGAACCCACAGGTGATACAACAGTTTAGCGTTAAAAAGCTATAAAGGCCAAGCAACTGAATTCTGCTCCCAATGCTGTATTCTGCATTTTTCTGTGCTTTTCACAAAATGCAACATGCACACACAGCCCCATAAGTAATGCGTGAATGAGACAGACTCTTGAAGATTACCTAGATTTGAAATGTCGTTTTCTGGTAACAGTATATGACATAACTTGCATTCAGTTTTGTGATAAGAACAGCTCTGCCACCATGAAGTCTTCACCTTCCTTTGAAGCAGGCAGAGGGGCCTAAAATTATTATGGTCTATCATGCTGGGTACTGGGACCCAGTCTCCTCGTGAATCCATCAGTTTTGCCAAAGATTTAGTTGCATTATGGAACGACATTTCTGAAGGAATACCTTGTCTAAAAGAAGCAGTGAGGAAAGAAACAAAATCATAATCAACATTATGCTAAGCCATGGTTTGTTTAACAATGCATAAATTACAATTGGCTGGATTCACACCAAACCAAACCAAACCAAACCAAACCAAACCAAACCAAACCAAACCAAACCCATTATGATTTAGTTAATACTGAATTCAGCCTACGAGCTACAATGTGTGATACAATCTTCTGGAGAATGCTTTTCCCATGCCAACTAGTCACCACCTAGTCTTAAAACATATGTTGTTATTTGAATATCGTGTAGGACTTTGATGTAATCTAATACAGAATTAGTTTTTCCCAAATGTGGATAGTAGGTTGTGATTGGGGAGCCTACTGTCCTTCAGATGCTGCTGAACAACAACTCCCAGTGCAACTCACCACTGGCTGTGCTACTTGGAAGTGCCGGGGAGGGTAGGTCTGCAACTTCTGCAATGTTAGAGCCTTGTTCTAACAAGTCAAGGCCTCCTAGTCTGCATTCTGTGTCACACTGCGGCCAACTAGTCAACCCAGCATCATAAATTAATCAGAGGTTCAGTTAAAAAACACAAACAAACTAGGGACACGGAAGTATGACCGGTTTATAATTTTTGATGTAAGAGCAACACCGCTGATTACTTTATACGTAATACCTCGGTTCATGAACGCTTCTGTTCACAAACAATTCGGGTCACAAACAGCACCGTTCGCAAAATT